TATGTGTAATTATGTGTGTTGTTGTCATTTGTTCATTTGTTCTGTTCTGCATGTTTGAAAGAATAAATCAATCAATCAATCAATCAATTTTATAAATTCCAGGCTAATAAAACATCACAGACAGCATGTTTTCTCATTTCTCTCATATGAGAAATGACCACCACTGTATCAAAATGCTCATTTGTCTGCCTTGTTCATATGGCTTAAGTTTAAACACTGGAGAAAATGCTGTCAACAACACTGGGCTACTAATTATAAAAACTAAATAGGAACAAGTTTTTTTTTTTTTTTTTTTTTTTTTTTTTTTTTTTTTTTGTTTGCTTGCTTTTTATGGTAGTCAACACACACCATAAGAGGTGCGTTTGCATACCAAAATAATCCTCCAATTTGTAGTTGCGTAACAGGCTATGGCAAAAAGGTTTACATCACATATTAAATCATCGCAGGAGTTTATTTTGTTTGACACGAGCAGCGCTTAAATTATTGTCATATTACTCTAGCTGACGACTATAGCACTAAAGTCCAGAAAACCGTTGATGAGTCCTGTCTGTAGTCTGGACGGGTGTCGGCACTATGTTCACGATTTACCCATCTTTGCTTCGTGACTTGAATGCAACACCACAACGGCCTCTTTACTCGAAGCTCATTGGTAAGGACAGGCGTCAATCAAACAAACGGCTTCGCTTTATTCCAGTAATCCCAGGCCAGGCCTGGAATAGTTGGGAATGGCACAGAACGGGGGCAGGACTGTGAAGATGTCGACCTGCTAAAGTAATTACCACGTTGTTTACGAAGCTGGATTAGTGGATACATAATTGAAACAGCACTGAAAAGCATATCTTGCTACATCAGAGGTGATTATGGTGTTATTTCTGAGCTCATAATAACCGTTTAACGATAGTTCGTGGTTAGCAGCTACCGTACAGTAGATAGCATTTTTTTCAACCATCACTGGCCTGTATGTGTCTGTGGTGGGTGCTGGCTGTTTAGTGAATTTAAAATGTAAAATGTCAACCCAGTTTATCCCTATTATCTACGTAGTCATCCTTGATAAGGTATGACAGCTATTTTTTATAAACACTATTCTTAAAGATGGGACTAGCTGTAACCGTATCTGTCATATTGTTCAGTTACTAATGCTAATGGCGTAAACCGTCCTGTGATGATGCAGTTTGGCATATCTACTGTATTAGCCACGTTTTCTAGAAAAGAAAAATCCTTTTTTTAAAGTTATAACTCATAAACATGTACAAGATATTAAGTGAGGAGACGCATGGTTTTACATCTTTTGACATTATTTTTGTGTAGCGGAGACCCCAAGATGCGATGTAAGGTATGATAGTATGTAACGTCATTTCGTCATATGTTAAATAAATGTTTACAGATTGAGGACGGTCACAACAACAAAATTCTTACTATTTTGATTCCCCACCCAGTGCTCTACAAAATGATCCACAAAATAGTGGTTTGTTGTCTTTTTTTGGCGTTAAAATGATGGGAATGTTTTCAGTTTTACACTGTGTTGTGAACAAATAGAGTGTTAGGTGTTATGGTCTGCATGCATAGAAGAAGTGTCCTCCCTGTAAACTTATTATCCTTGTTTTCTTTTATTAAATTGTGTTATGACATCTGTACAAACAGGTCCTTCAAGAGGATAGTGCATACAGTGCATATATAATTATAATAGGACTATATTTTATCACAAGACCATTTGAGAAATGTAACACCTAAAAGAACAACCTGTATAGAGGAGACAAAGGATCCACACCTATCATTCTTAACGCTGTTACGTATTTGGACAGATTAATACTTTTAATACTCCTCTTCTGCTTGGTACAGTCTTCCGCCTCAGTTTTCAGCAATAAGGATTAACAACAAGATTTATTTGTGCTATATCCTGCCCCTGATTTTTTTATGGAATAAATCTGGTTTAGTCCTGTGGGTGAATGGTAAAAACAAATGGTTAGTTTTCACGTTACGTAGTCATCCTAGTATGACTCAATAGAGGAATACCGGGTATTAGTCAGCATAGCAACCTGGCTAAGCACTAACTCATACCTGGCAGGCCTCCCCGTTGATGTGTTTTCTAGTCATTTGGCTGTGCCGAAAAAATTTTGACTAGTTTTTGTAAATTTCTGTTAGGGAGTTAGTTTGGATTGACTTGCTTTTATCTCTCAGTGTGTGTTTTATTGTCTTAAGCCAATCATTTAGAAGCAAACAACTAAAACTTGTATCTTTTTAAAGTGACTTTTGTACTCACTTCCTGCAGTGTCCTAGATTTACAATAACATTCATAAAGGGATACATGGAATAGAAGGGAAGGAAATGCTGTTTGGTTGTGGTCCAAAAGCTACACACACCCACACACCCACAGGAGACTGAATGCCTCTTCTCCACTGAGGTCAGTGCACCGGCATTTCACAAATCTGCTCTCTGTTTTTCACTCATTCTTTCGCCAGCATCCGGTCTTCCATTGTCATCCCATTCAAAGGTCAAACAAAATTGGCAGCGACTGTAGCTTGCGTTATAAAGTGTCACCAAACTTACATAGTATACTCGAATCACTGCGTGCTTATTTCTTTGGTCTTGGTGGTCATTGTATGACAGAGTAATGACAGTGTTTGCAAAGTGTAGGCTGAGGACAGACAGTTTTCCCTGGATGTGGCTCCAGCTGTACAACCACATGTTTTTAGCGAAGAAAAGGTGTTTTGAACTTTGTTTTAAAATGTGGTTGTAATAGTAAGGTGCTTGGCAGTTGTGTATAAAAATGGATAAAGATAGAATTGCTCAGACTATATCTACTATTGTGTGGGGTGACACACACAAGGTAAACACTGTCTTGACTATAACAGGTTACATGACAATGTGATGTTTATTTAGATAGTGATTACACTCCTGTTTTCCATGAGCAGTTTTGCTTTTCTCCAGACTATGCTACTTTGGAGTGATTTTGGCATTGGGTACAGCTCATTGTTATTTTTTGTTCTGATTTTGATTGTGAGGTATTTAATGACAAACAGTAACGACTAACTATTAATTAGTGAAAGTTTTTGGCACCACTGAAACATCGTTTATCAAGCAGGTACATTTTCTGGCTACAACTTCACTAAGAATTGCTGTAGCCATTAGTTAGATGAAATGATTTGCTCCAGCCAACACATATACGCACTGTCTCAAAGCAAACACATAATATTGAATTTGTTAGTAACCGTGCATATTTTCTGACTTGCACACAAATTTAATTAATTTACTGGAAACATGGGTATATTATATATGGACTGAGTTTGCTCTAGTATCTGAGTGCCAGTTAATGCTTAACACTGTAAAAATAGTACACTAAGGACAAATGAAGGCTTTTGAGTGAATTTGGGTTCTGAGAAATGATTGTATCACACGGTGGTCAGTCCTCCACAGGATTTTCTGTGTGTGAGTATACGTGGATGTTTTCCATGGTTATAGAATGAAATGTCAAACAGAAAAGGGCAAAGCCTGTTTTGGAGAGAGGAGGCAAACAAACAATGTTGTTTTTATTCTGTGAGTTGGTTCTTTCCTAAAATAGGACTAAAGCAGACATACAGATGAGATTTTGATTTTAAGTAGCAACAATATCTTTGTGGTTTTTCTAGATTGTGGTTACATTTATTAGAGCTGCAAGGACAAGGAGCAGAGGCCAGGAGAGAGGTATTGATTTGTGCTGGTGTGCATTTGCAGCTATCAGGTTCTTGGTGAGATTTCCCAGAATCTACAGCTGTTTTCCCCTGATTCCCATTAGTGCTATTTTTTCCGGGGTTCAATGGTCGTAGAATATGTTTGAGGTGGTGGAAAAATAATCCTCTTGGGATCCAGGAGCCCTAAAACATATGGTATAGTATTACTGCTCTTTTAGTGTGGGGACCTACAGTAAAGCTTGATTTATGGTTCTGTGCTAACTCTACACCGTAGGTACAACATAGGCCATGTGTAGCCTTGTACGCTACGCCATAGTGTGATGTGCATCTCTTCAGAAATGTAACTGCACGTTGTTGCGATTGGTTGCATCGCATTTCCTCATTCATGTGTGTCAGTGGCCAGACAAACATGGAAAATCCCCCTCGTTCTGTCTCGGTCAGTTCAGTGTCATTCACCCTTATTGGAGTAATTTCAGTAAAAATAACAGCTGTTCAACTAGGGCAGGGTGTCATCCCAGTACCGATATCTTGACTTTGATACTGGTTCCTAAATGATGCTTTTTCAATACCAATTTTATAAAATCAGTTTTAACAAAAAACAAAAGACATACATTACACATTTTGGTACAGATCATTAGTTTTATTTCCCTTTTTTTTGGCATTTTTGTACATTCAAAGCAGTTTCATAACATAAAAAGTAAACCTATTTACCACAACCTTAAGTTTTGTTAACATTAAAATCAATAAATAAAAATGTAGAAAAGCATTTTTCGATACTCGATGGTATTGAAGTAATTTCATCGATGCCATAAAAGTATCGAGGTTCGATACCCAGCACTAAGTTTAACATCTGTTTGTTTTAACTCCAACACGACCCTCTCAGTTTCAGTGCCCATTATTATTAACTTGTGAAGAAACGCAACACAGCTAGCATTCCAGCGGTGTAAAAGCAGGGCGACACAGACACACCAGTGCACAAGCATAAATACTCACAAGGCTGATGCCACTGGTGTAGCCTAAGGTGTGGTCTCTGTGTGGATTTACCACAGAACTATGAATCAAGCTAAGGGACCTGCAGCAAACTCAGAAACCATTTTGGTGCAGGTTCATGAAACACTGACACCATACAGCTGTATTCACTTGAGCCATGCATCTAAATTTTATCTGGAAGTATGATTTTTGATCTAGGGGAGACATTGAAATCCTAGCTAACTCTGCAAAGACTCTAATGACACATTTGGGTTAAGACAAGCACAAGTGTTCAAATTGTTGTATGTGCTTTTTGGCTGCTTAAATATCTGCTTGGTAGAGGTTTTGTGGTATTTACATTGTACCAGCTATTCTTTTGTTTTCATCATTGCATTTTGTTCCTGTATTTGCCTTCTGTCTTTCCACAGATTCTAGAGAAAAACTAAACTCGCTGGTGGTTTGGAAAGAAACATGGAGCAGGTCATTAGATACAGTATACTGCCAAAAAAGGTGTTCCTGTTCACCTTTCCCATAAACTTTCTCTTCTCAGAAGTCAGTGTTATTTGTGTGATCTCAGGTGCAGTAACATTATGGGCTGGAAATCACTGGCGATGAGAGTAGCTTGTTGTCCCTCAATGCAGTGTTGTGCTTTATTACTGCATTATTTGTTACCGATTTTAAGATGAAAGATAGATGGTGGAAAAGATAGAAGTTTGTTCTTTTTTTAATCTATCTTATCTCTCTGTTTTTATCTGATATGTCAAGAAACCAGATCTAGAAAAAAGTCTTCTGATTAGATTCATAGGGGTTGCATTGCTCACTCACCAGGCCCAAACAGCAGCAGTGTTTTTTTTTTTCTTTTTTTCTGTGGATAGAAGTCTGTTGGATTCTGCGGAGTGATTTATTTTGTTTTGCTTGTAATGTGCAAGAAAATATTAACGTAGCTAACAACCTTTTTTTTTTTTTTTTTGCAAAAGTAAACACAAAATGCATTAAAGCAACCTAAAATAATCTTGAACAGAGTGAAATAAATCACTTTTTATAAACTTTTAAAGTTGAGAATTTATTATTTCTTCGACATTTCAAAACACTCAGCATGAACATTTGTTGGTGGTTCCACCACCATAACATTTAGGGACAATAGGCCAATGAAATACAAAGTTACATTTTATTAGATGGAGGCTACGGACCAGTCACTGCACAAAGGAGGGGGTGGGGGAGTTGGGATAACAATGCTCGTTTTAATTTTGTCAGGAGACATTGATATCTTTGCTAACAGACATGAACCTTGTTGTTCACATAGGCTACTGAAGAGAACAGCTCTAGAAGGTGACATGAGAAGTGTCACAGATTGCTGTGGAAGGAATGAAAAAAGAAGTAGACAGAAATTTGCAGCTAGCCAGTTGTGAAGTAGATGTGAATGCTGGATACTAGGCTTGGAAAATGACTGGAAATGATAAAAAAAAAAAAAAAAAATTACAATATCACACAGCTGTTGTGCACATGCCAGTGGTGGCAAACACATGCTTACATTCTGAGTTTCTACTTTCTTTTTAAAATCTGCGGAGGTCTTGTCGTTAATTCCGCGGGCACAGATTCCGTTTGGGCCTGGTGATCGCCTTATAAATTAAATTGAGTTACCTGCTACCGTTATATTAGGGTCACATTGAATTATCTGTCTGCAAGCATACTCTGTGGCTTTGTCCTTTGTTTCAGGTTAGGATCAGACTCTTTTATTCAGTTCTTCCAAAATGATCTGTGCTTGTGTGTGTCTGTGTCTTTCACATCGAGGTAGTGTCATTGTGGTAATGGACTTGGCAGTGCTTGTGGGCGTTGCTTTTTCAAGCTACCAAGCTGTTTGAGGCCTGTCCCAGCCTGTCTCAAGGGGAAACCAGACAAACTGCACTGCAGCGTCTCAGTGGCAGTTAAACACACAAAGACAGAGGATTACACAGACGCTCACCAAGGCCAAAGCACATAACAAAATTATTGCAACACCTTCTTTTGTCGGGTGTTTTTTTGTCGGGTGTTGTTAGAGAGAACAGTCTCTTAATGTAGCTACGTGCTGTGTTTTTAACATGCACTGTGCCAGAGCAGCTTTCTGGTTAAAGGTGCCCAATCCTAAATCATAATACCAAATCCTAAATCATTCTGAAACAGAAATAAAAGTTGTTTGTGCTGGAAAGTGTAAGGCCAGCTGACACATGTTTATTTGTATAGTACACATGCCATGACTAAAGCATGCTCAGCTGGATAGAAAAGCAGCAAAGCCAAGCCTCCAACATTCAAAGACTACTGGTTGAGAAGAGGACATGGGAAATGGCTTCTCTCTTACCACGAATTTGGTTGAAATTCCTCACAGCTTAGGTGTTACCTCTCTTTTTGTACCTCGTACTTTTTTTAAACCCCTCTTTTTTTTTACCACTTTTCTGTCTTTTCAAACAGGGCACTCTGTATATCTTGCCTTTCGGGATGTCCAGCCTGTTGTCACTGTAGTGGAGAGAACCACCACCTTAGGATCTGCAGGCAGCACCTCAGCCAGTGTATAACCATGCCTCGCTTAAGTGTCCGTCGCACATTAAAGCCTCTCCGCAGATCTGTCTGGATCATCTGTGTTCTCCTGGGCCTCTCCACTGTGCACACTCATGCCAAAGATGGTAAGAACCAAACTACATTAAAGGAAAAGTTCACTCTTTCAGTAGTCTGCAAGGCTCAATGAGAATAATGCTAAATATTGAGGCGTTCTAGCAGGCTCACGTGGAAAGGTTTGCTCTGTTTGCTGATTTAAACTTGTGTCGTGAACATTGTGTTTTAAATCACTTAATCCTGACTCAACCGGAGTGTTTTTTTTTCCTCCTTCAGTGCTTACTGTACCGCAGCAGCTGAGCTTGTCACCCAACATGTATACACAGCAACTCTCAATATCCTGGCTGGGAGGAGCAGCCACAACCTTTGACCTCATAATTTTAAGAACTGAGCTCAATGAAACTGTCTTCTATGTAAGAGCATTTCTTTTTTGTTATTTTGTTCCCATGGTTTTATTGGCCATTTATATTACAAATCAAATACATTCTCATGTGAAAAGAGTGATAGTGTGATGGGATTTTTGATCCTAATATGTGTAGTGATAATTGAAACTTTAAAAAAGCTCAGTAATGATGTATCTGCTGGTTTGATTTTATAATATGTTATAAGCTCTTGCAGATGATATAATGGTTTGTTCCTTTTCTTGCTGCAGAGATGACTGTCATTACCAACAATAATCAGTTTCATGTTGTTCTGGTTCAAATCCTCACAATGTTTTCTCTGTAGGAGACTGTGTCCGTGACAGTGAATCAGGTGAGTGGTCAGCACCAGTGGAACTGGACCTCTGTTGAACCTCTGGAGTGCACCTCTCTGTCGATCAAAGTCCGCTCTAGAGATGGACAGACTACAAGTGAATGGAGCAACACTGAGATACTTCAAGGTCAGAGCAATAGTAATTATATCTCTATGTATTAGAGGACACCAGTAATTGAGAAATATAACTTGTCAGATTGGGATTAACATGATGATTCATACATTCAGGGAGTGAAGGCCATTTCTAATTCAAATTCACTCTCTGAAGTCTCTCTTTTAAGATGAACAAATGACTTCTCTAAATACACATCTCTATTTCTGTCTTCCTCTCCCTGTTTGTCTTTCATTTGAAAGTTTTAAAGAGTCTGCTTTCTATTTTCTCCCTCACTCCTCCTTTTTAGGAAACGATCTCCCCAGCAATGACAAATTCCAGATGTACCCCCAGGACAGAATTGTACCTGTGGGGGCCAACACCACCTTCTGTTGCATTGTGGGAGAGGGGAAGCCCTTTAACCGCATCAGATATGGCACAACGATCATGAACACGACACGACTGAGTAGGCGAAGCTACGCCACCACAGTGGTTAACCAGAAGCTATCTGGCAGGACGGGAACCAATGTAGTTTGTGGTGGCGACCTGGTGTCAGAACTGACTGGAGCAGTGGTGTTTGTTGGATGTAAATGAATAAATGGACGCATAAGACAGATCATCTTTATTATTATGTAAATATATAATGAGGCAAGGAAGTAAGTTTCTACATGTTGTTCCCATCCCTAGATCCACCACTGCCTACTGATTTTGTGTGTGAGACTCATGACTTAAACACAGCTGTATGCTACTGGAGTGAAGGACGAGACACAAACTTGTATGGCAAACGAGGAACACGCTACTCGGTGAACAACAGGTATCACATTCACACTTACACAGCAATTTACTTTTAAAAATAACCAAACAACACCTGGGATCATACACGTGCAACCAACTGGTTTTAACCGGACCTGAAGCCTGATAGATTGTGGGAAACCGTAGGGCTCTGGCAACACATCTCTGATCTGGAGATAGAATTTTTGAAAGTTCCCAATCAGCGAAGTGAATTAATAATAGTGTTGTTTTACCATACATGAGAAAAATCACAGACCTGCTGTCCTATCACAAAATCCTGTTGTTGGGCTGTTTTGTTATCACACCACCACCCCACCAGAGTTAGGTGGAGCCAGACCCATCCTTTTAAGCACCTAGTCTAAGTAACTACTTGCTGCTACTGTGTCCATTTAATATTGATAGTGGATTGGCTGTCTTCCAGACCTTTTACAGGAAGCATCTGAAGACTGGCCAGAAGAGATGTTACATTATGAATTATTTTGATTGTTTAGATTGGGTGAAGTGGTTATATTTTAATTTTAAATAAATTTGATTGTCTGAACTTATTCAATCTGCCATTTATTTCTTATCTTTTCTGTATCCTTAATGAGAGCAGCCCACAGCAGAAGCAGAGAGAGTGTAGAGTACCTCGATGGGAGGGTAACTGGACACTGGTAGCTGTGAATTCTCTTGGCCAGTACAGCCTCACTGACTCTGCTGAACTCATGCACAGAGGTTGGTGTATTCCCCTTACCTTATCAAAATCACTGGACTGATACACACCAACAAGAAGAATTCATATGAAGTTCATTTTTATACCAATTTTTAAAGCTGAGTTAAATATAGTCATCAGTTCACTGACTGTTGCTTCATCCTTTCTCAGTGCGCCCAGTAGCACCAGCAGATCTGAACGTTGTCGCCCATGCCTGGAATGCCACTGTGCTGTGGCAGTGGAAATACCACAGCTATTCCTCCCTGGCCCTTGTCTGCCGAGTAAAGCTTACCTCCCATGGTTCCAACACAAATGTGAGTTTCCTGTGTGTGTGTGTTGCAGGAGAAGACCGCTTCTCCATTTGTTTGTATTTTTTTTACTCTGTCTTTCTCAGTGTACAGAATCTTTCTTGTTTTTTTTGTGTTCTACCAAATTTCTGTTACAGTGTACTAATGACTGATTACTTTCAACAAATGCAAGCTTGTATTGACATATTCTTGCCACTCGTGTGACCATCCATGTTCCAAATAGTAATGAAGCCTAATGTGTGTGCCCAGTATACCTACTCCAGTGTGGGTCTGCAGTCAGCGGTTCTTTCGGATCTGTATCCTGATGAGGTATATAGTGTACAAGTCCGTTGCAGTGCCCAGCAGCATTTCTGGAAGTGGGGAAACTGGAGCGAAAAGATTTCCTTCCACACCGGTACCGATGGTAAGGCATTTATTTGATCATCTATTAAACTAGTTAATGTGTGACATTTTTGCCTGATAACTAACTTCAGTGATTAATCAATTCTTTGTTAATTGGTTTACTTATTTTATACTTATTTAAGCTTAAATAATTATTACTAATTGTTAAGTATAACTAAAGTGTATTTTTTACTTCTAAACTGTGATAATTTGTCTGTTAGAAAATACTGTAGACAGTTTATTACTTTTAAAACCTTGTGACAGTTCCAGATGCTCCTGATGTATGGCTGTGGATGAACAGGGACAACACTGGGCAGATTATTTGGAAGGTATTTTTTAATTTATCTGTAATGGATTGTTTGAGATTTACAGCCTACAATTTGCCTACTGTGGAGAACACAGATTTACAGCATGGTTACATAAGCTATGTTCACAAGTATCTGAAATTGTAAGTAAGAGATGACTTAAGTTTTTTATGTCTTTGTCCTGCCCTCCTTCCCTCCCTTTAATTTTGGTTTCTTTTAGCCTCTGACACAAAAGCAGAGCCATGGCCAGATCACAGGTTATGAAGTTACCCTCTGGAACGTTGGAGAAAAAATAAATTTCACAGAAATCCTTCAGATGGATACTTCTGTAACAATCAACCTCACACAGATCGCTACCATTGGCAGTGATGACAAGGTCATAGCAACCGTTATTGCAAAGAACGCTGACGGGGAGTCTCAACCTGCAAGTGTAGTTATACCTCTGCGTTTGGCAGGTATGTGGAAATGGAGAGAGTCTAGTATATTTACCATGTAAGAAGTCAAAAAGCAATTAGTTTGTTACATGAAGTTTAGTTCTGTAGTCATAAAGCAGCAGCCAGTTAGTTATAAAAGAAGAATATTTACACTGCTGCATATGCATCTTCTTCTTTCCAGATGTGGAACCTCTTGCTGTGTCCAGGGCAATTTATACAGACAGAGGTTTCACTCTGTTCTGGCAGAGCGATGCCAATGCCACCTGTGGTTATGTGGTAGAATGGCACGATGCGTCCTGCACGCGGGACTGCCCTCTGGAGTGGACAAAGGTGGCTGCTGGAAACACTAATGTCTCTGTTGAGTCAGGTATGCTTGCCTTGAAGCCTTCTTTAAAAAGAATAAACCAAGTCTGTGGAAAGAGAGCATGGTTTATAACATATGTCCAGTACATTTGTATAGTCAGTACAGGCTAAAGCTGACTGTCCCCTGCTATTCTTGGCTGTGTTTAGTGATTTATAATGCAAACAGGATTTTGAAACCATGTTATACAATACGTATTAATTTCTTTTGCCATCAGCAACCTTCCAACCGGGTGTGAGGTACAACTTTTCCTTGTACAGCTGCTCCTCAGAGGCCCCAGAGCTGCTGCAGCGCTGGCAGGGATATATGCAGGAACTGGGTACGGATAGCACTGCATGTGGAGAGCTTATCCTTTTAGAAGAAGCAGTGGCTTCAGAAACCATACTCTGCATTTTAATTGTTGACTCTTTGTTCTCATTTTTTGTTATGCCTCTCTCCCTTTTCTTCTGTTTTCTGTCCTCCTTAATTGTGACTCCAACAGTCCCTTCCAGTTCTGTCCCTCTGTCGACCACTCAGCAGCGCTCTAATATTCTCCTTACCTGGGGAGAGATCCCCATGATCAGCAGACGAGGGTTCCTCCTGGGCTACAACATTTACATCAGTAATGGCTCCCAGCTCACACTTCTAGGTAAATGTTATGATGTAAAGTGCCACCTCTATAAATAATACACATACAGTGGGTGCGGAAAGTATTCAGACCCCCTTAAATTTTTCACTCTTTGTTATATTGCAGCCATATGCTAAAATCTTTTAAGTTCATTTTTTTCCTCATTAATGTACACACAGCACCCCATATTGACAGAAAAACACAGAATTTTTGACATTTTTGCAGATTTATTAAAAAAGAAAAACTGAAATATCACATGGTCATAAGTATTCAGACCCTTTGCTCAGTATTTAGTAGAAGCACCCTTTTGAGCTAATACAGCCATGAGTCTTTTTGGGAATGATGCAACAA